TTAACATGCAACACATGCAAGCTGCTCTTCTTCCCATGCCAGAGAAGTATGGAATAAATAAAATATACTGGATATAATTTTATTACAGAACCAGGCCAAATTATGCCTGTTCCACTAGGAATATACAAAAGAAAACCTGCTTCAGCTGATCTGATTCATGACTTTTGAACATCTGGGGTTGTCACTACAGTATTGTAGCAGAATTCTCTAGGGATACATATTATATACTTAACTAAAGAATGCAGTTCTTTGTGTGCGTGTGTGTTGTAGAAATATAGTACAGATTGAAAATCTTAAATTTCAAGGTTAGCCTTTTTGAAAAGCCATTATAAAGGAAGCTATAGCATGTTCTTCTGGAATCTATCTCTCTCCTCGAAACTAAGCTTTAAACTTTCAAAACAAGGTGGCTGCAGAAGTGTAAATCACCCCTGAGTAAATGCAGCTACTGTACACAGGAAGCTAAGATCAGGTTCAAGTGCATCTGGGCACCAGTTTTAATAAGCCCTTTTTAAAGCTGTTACATTCTTCAAAGCTATCTCTCTCTCTGTGGGCTGGGGGAGCTAAAAGTATTATGTACCTAATGACTTATACTGTTTCAGTAGTTTCCTCTGTAGACTAGATCAGAAAGAAAAAAAAAGGAGAGTTCAGAGTACAGTATTTCTGGTTGATGCAATAATGTTGATAGGATTTTAGCACTGTCTGCCCTGCTACTAAAAACTGATGTATTCTAGATGCATGCTTTGAAAGGGGGGAATGCAATTATTTTCATGTAACTAATGAATGTAAAATGTATATTCTTCTATTATGCCTGAGTATTATGTGTCTGCTTGAATCTCCAAATGTTTCACAAGTTCCAAAAGAGAAACTAGTGCACCCTCAAAACAACAGCACAATACATGCTACAATAAGTATGTTAATCTTTAAAGATGCCACACACAACATGGCTACCCCTTTTGGATTTTGTCTGTTCAGTCTTCATTATATCATAATAATGGAAGTAACTGTGGTCTTGGGAAGTTCATCCTTGTTAGATCTGCACCTTTGGTGTTTGAAATCACGAACCATAGTATCATTTATAAGCTGCCTAAATGAGATAAATATTTAATAATAATAATAATAATAATAATAATAATAATAATAATAATAATAATAATAATATTTATTTGGATCCCACCCCTCTGAGAATAATTGGAGCAGCTAACAGCAATTTAAAATTATAAACAATATAAGTCCAAAAAGGCCCCAAAACCCACCAACCCTTTAAAAAGTATTAAACCAATGAACTATTAAAACATCTAGTTAAAAAGACTTAGAATAAAAACTGATTACAAATAACAATATAATAAAACAGAGCATCAGGAACATTCAAATTGTGAGAGGGTTGGATAAGGGGGTTCCTGAGGCTGGGAAATCTATTCTGGAAAGGCCTGCCAGAAGAGATCTGTCTTAATAGCCTTTTTAAAGCTGTTTAGCATTGTAATCTGACGGATCTTGTCTGGCAGGCCGTTCCATAATCTGGGGGTGATTACCGAGAATGCCCTCTGGGAGGTTGCTGACAGCCCAGATTTTAATGGCTGGAGCAAGTTCCTCCCAGAGGACTGGAATGTGCGGGGAGGATTATATGGGAGGAG